TGGAGCCTGGCACTGATCCTGGCGCTTCCACTGAGCCCTGACAGCCCTGAAGTGCTGATCAGCTGGAGCCTGGCACTGATCCTGGCGCTTCCACTGAGCCCTGACAGCCCTGCAGCTCCAGCCGTCTCTCGCTCAGGCTTGTGCGGTGCTGCCACCGGTTCAGCTCATTCCCCTCCCCCGCTACCACTTTTCTAGGATGGTGGCGTACCACCTGCCAGGTGCCAGTGTACCACAGGTGGTACCCGTACCACTGGTTGAAAAGCCCTGGTCTGGACAAGTCCCTGCAGTTTTCTTGGACAGGTTTTTCAGAAATGGTTTGCCATTGCCTCCTTCCTAGGGCTGAGAGAAAGTGGCTGGCCCAAGCTCACCCAAACTGGCTTTATGCCAAAGGCAGAACTAGACCTCCCCATAGCTGAACTGTTGAAAATGAAATCCGTTGTTGATCGCTGTGACCAGCTTTGCTGAAATAAAAGAATTGCGCAAGACCGTGAAGGTATCCACCTACTTGGAAGATACTCAGCATCCCATTGACAAAGTTATCTTCCTTTTGGTCTATATAATTTATTGCCCTGCTTGTTTACTTATGTAGCAAGAGTCCAGAAAACTGCTTCATAAAACTCTCTTGACTTAATAGGTGCAGTTTGCACAACACATGTTAAATGATGTAACAAAATTAACCCATTTTCTGGCTAGGAAGAGTTCACTGAAGCATTGACTAACCCAGGGGACAGCAAAGTGCCCCATCCTCTAAAACCAAAATCCTAAGCCAGAGAATAATTTGTAATTCTGCATTAGAGGTGAAAACTAGGGAGAAATTACATTTTGCCATCAACAGCACTTTATGGTTGAGGATCGTATATAAATTCATTTGGCTGCATTTGAAGGATAGGCTTGATCATGGTTAAGGGAATCATAGTTTTCTTTAGGTGTCTACATTGGTAAGAATATGCTGGACTACATAGAAACCCTATGGGCTGAATTGGTACAACAAAAAAACTAAGGTGATTGTCTAATTTCTGTCATATAAGCCTAGTAACTGTGAGCCATTAATCCATGATATGTCTTAGTGCTTTGTGTGCGTTCTGCAGGTGTGGTGTGTTTAAGCAATCACAGCTTAATGCAATATTAAGATGATGGTACCACTGTATGATACTTTGTTCAAGTGGTAGCTTGCACAGAACCCCCAAGTTTCCTCTTTCTATTTTTGCACAAGATTCTAGACCTCATGGAGTGGAGGGGAAAAAGTGATATCTAGACACTGCAATTTTTAGGCATGTGAAAGGGACAGAAAACAGGGCAATTCCTTCTTTGAAACTTTTTCTTCCCCTGAAGAAACGCTTTTATCTCAAAGTGTATTTAATAAAATATATAATTTGGCCCAGGAAGGCGCCAGAGTGAAGCCGGACACACCTAAACATAGGTGCACATTGATCACCTCTGATCAGAACTTGTGCTGCCTCAATTCCCAAATGTTGTGTCTCTTTCAGCTTCGGTGTTGGCCAGTTTTACAATGACTGTTTGTTCTACTGACCTTGGAAAAATGTGTGTCCAGTTGCAAAGAGAATTTGGGAGAGGGCCTGGATGGGACACGGGGGGGGGGGAAGGAGGAGGGGTTGGGAAGAATGAGTAAACACCATGTGACGTGCTTGATGTTGTGGAAGTGCCATCAGGTGGGAGAATCTGGGTCATATGCCGTTGGACTCCTGCCCCGGAGAACTTAGAAACTGGGACAAAGTCCAGAACCACATTCTAGATAAGTGACTTGCATATTCTTGAACAAAAGGACAACTATTAGTAGTAAGAGGAGTAGAATTAGTCTTGCTTCTTCATTCAAGGAGTACAGATAATCCTCGACTATCTGTTCATTGAATGACAGTTCAGACTTAAAGAGGTCAGATTGTGAGAAATGCCAATGTAGGCTGAAATCTTACGCTTGCTTGTTAAAGTTCTCGTTTGCACCAATATAGATAGTCCTCAACTTAAAGTAGTTCATTCAGTGATAATTCGAATTTACGAAGGCCGAAAAAAGTGACTGGTGACCTTTTTTTTCAGACTTAACAAACATCGTAGCATCCCCGTGCTCACATGATCAAAATTCAAACTTATGACCATTGCAACATCCCCATGTCACGTGATTTACATTGGGATGCTTGGCAACTGACTCATATTTATGACAGTGTCCCAGGGGTCATGTGATCCCCTTCTGCAACCTTTTGACAAGCCAAGTCAAGGGGGAAGCAGATTCACTTAACAACGGGGTTACTAACTTAAGAACTGCAGCGATTCACTTAACAATTGTGGCAAGGAAAGTTGAAAAATGGGGCAAAACTCATTTGACCAATGTCTCGCTTAGCGACATAAATGTTGGGCTCGACTAGTAAAGTCAAAGACCTGTATGTGGAAAGAGAAAAACACCTGTTGGATTGGCCTGAAGTGCAAACCTGAGCAGTGGGATTTGGGCAGATTCCCGAAAGGAAGGGCAAATTCTCACAAGCGCTTTCCATCCGGACTCGCCCAGAGTTTTGCTAGCGATTCCAATTCAGATTGGCTCTGCAAATTCAATTCCGAATGGATTTTTTGCAAGCTCCGTTCCAGTTCAAAATGGTTCTGCTAGAGTAGCGAATGGGAGGCGAAGAGGCTCCGGTGTGGTGTGTGATTCTTTTGATTTTAAGTACAGAGACTCTCCTTGGAAGGGTGATGCAATCTTCCAATCATCCTGTGCCAAAGATTGTGGCTCTTTCACTAATCTGACTCGGGATTAGGAAAGATTAAAAATGGACTGTTAAGTCGCTGGGACCAGCCAGCGCAATAATTAGCTTGGATGGTTGAAGCTCTCTTCCTTTATGACTCTTTTGTTCCTCCGCTATCGTTGGGCTGAGTTGTTGTGCGAAATGGGAGTGGTTACATAAAACACACACAAAAGGATCTTCTCCTTTTACTCCTGTTCTTTCCTACAGGTGGCCCTTCACATATGACCACAGTTGAGCTCAAAATTATTATCACTAAGCAAGTATGTTTTGGCCCCATTTTACGACTTTTCTTACCACAGTTGTTAAGTGAATCGCTGCAGTTGTTAAGTTAGTAACACGGTTGTTACGTGAATTTGGCTTCCCTGTGGACTTTGCTAGTTGGGACATGACCTCGAGACACTGCAACAACTGTCATAAGTACGAGTCAGTTGCCAAGCGTCTGAATTTTGATCACGCAACCCTGGGGATGCTGCAATTGTGTGAAAAAGGGTCATAAGTCCTTTTTTTCTTTTTTTAAAAATATATTTTATTGATTTTTTTAACATAATCACCTTAATATTTGGTAAACAGTATGTTGTCTAGGTTTATATTTTAAAAACAATCAGTAAGAATTAGTTTTTATAATTATATAGTCCACATGGTAGCTTTGCTTGTTTTTCTCTTCCAATAATATTCTCTTTTGCCAACCTTGAATTAATACAATTCTTATTATTTTGATAAATAATAATTATAGGCATTTTTCTAATATTTCTGCAAATAATAACCACATCAATATAAAGCTTCTTTTCTAACTGATCATCCCTCGTCATAGGTCCTGTTTACAAAATTCTTGTTTAAGTTTGTTTTCCCCACAATGTTACTGGTTGAGATTTTCTCAAAGTTAATTACACTTAAGTATTTTAAGTCTTTTTCCTCGTACAGGCCATCCTAACACTTTTACCTTTCTCATGTCTTAAAAAAAAAGAGAGAGAGAAGAGAAGAAAAAGAAATAAGATAGCATACTACTTAAAATGCATGTCCCTCTTAGGCTAATGTACATTTATATCCAGAATTTTTCTCTTCTTTTTAACCATATTCAAACATATGTTTAATCTTTAAAAGTCCCTTTTTTCAGTGTGCTTGCAACTTTGAATGATCACTATAAGTCGAGGACTATCTGTATATGAACCCATCCATGATCTTGCCAGCAATGCAGAAAGCATCTGCCACTGCTCACTGAAGTAGTACAAATAGTCCTTATTTAGCAACCAAAACTGCTAAATTGTGGCAAAAGAGGTCATACAATGGGGCAAAACTCACTTAACTGTCTAGCAACAGAAATTTTGGGCTAATTGTGGTCTTAAGTTGAGGACATCCTGTAGTAATTGTTGTTGTTGTTAGTTACGAAGTCGTATCCGACCCATCGCGACCCCATGGACCACGTTCCTCCAGGCCTTCCTGTCCTCTACCATCTTCTGGAGTCCATTTAAGCTCACGCCTCCTGCTTCAGTGACTCCATCCAGCCATCTCCTTCTCTGTCGTCCCCTTCTTCTATTGCCCTCCATCTTTCCCAGCATCAGGCTCTTCTCCAGTGAGTCCTTCCTTCTCATTAGGTGGCCAAAGTACTTGAGTTTCAACTTCAGGATCTGGCCTTCTAAAGAGCAGTCAGGGTTGATCTCCTCTAGGACTGACCACTTTGATCGCCTTGCAGTCCAGGGGACTCGCAGGAGTCTTCTCCAGCACCAGAGTTCAAAGGCCTCAATTCTTTGGCGTTCAGCCTTTCTTATGGTCCAACTTTCACAGCCATACATTGCAACTGTAGTAATTACTAGAAGTTAAACGCATATCAGGATTGACAGACATTTGATAAAACTGCTGGGAAAAGACCCTGGAAAGTTTTATATTATTTTATATTTTTAAGTTTTAAGTTTTATATTTAAGGGGCAAAACATTCCAACTCAGTTTTCTTGGCAAGCTCATAGCCCCTGACTTATGACCGCAATTGGGACTGTAATTTCAGTCATAAGTCATGATAGTCATAAGTCAAGGCACACAAATGACCAGACCCAACTTTAAAACCATTTTTATGGAGGCCGTTAAGCGAATCACGTCATCGTAAGACCATGCAGTGGTTAAGGAAATCATGCCGTCGTAAGTTCAAACCAGTCCCCCCAAATGGACATTTGCCAGAAAGCAATAAAAAGTATCGGAAACTAGAAAAAAAAAATCTTTATATGGTGGTCATGTGACCTTGCTGTATTCCTGACAAAGCACAAATAAAACCCTATTATCTTCTGTTTTCTCTTGGCAGCCCACTCCCCAAGCTTGTGTTCAACAGGGTCAATGGAAAGAGGCCCCCATTGATGATCTCACCCCCCACAACCACAGAGGAAAACTACACCGTCGCTCACGAAGAAAATGTCCGGTTTGTGTACGAAGGTAAGCTGGCTGCTGGCTGACTCTGGGAACAGGAGGCTTCAAACGTGGCTACTTGAAAAAGCGTGTGGACTTCAACTCCCAGAATTCCCCAACTCCCAGCCTGCGGGCTGAAGAATTCTGGAAGTTGAAGTTTGAAAACCGCTGCTCTAGCAGGAAGTCAAAAGACTGGTGGAGCCCCCAATTTGTTTGTCGTTGCATTGTTCTTGTCAAGGACATAAACTGAAGCGAGAGAACTGCAGGACAAAAAACACACACAAAAAAACAGAAGACTGTTAGCATCATTTTTGACTCACGTTTTTATGGAGGGAGACCATCCCTCACCTTGGGTACCATTTCAACATTTCAACCTTGAATAATGAGCACAGTGGTGCCCCAAATTTCCCGTTGCTGAGCAAGACACATTAAGCGCCCCATTTTACGATCTCGCTTGACGCAGTTGCTAAGCGAATCGCTGCAGTTGATGAGTTAGTCTCCCCGTTGTTAAGTGAATCTGGCTTCTCCCGTTGACTTTGCGTGTCAGAAGGTCGCAAAAAAGGCGGTCACGTGACTCCCCCGGGACGCTGCCACCGTCATAACTGTGAGTCAATTGCCAAGCGCCTGAATTTTGATCACGTGGCCCTGGGGACGCTGCAAACGGTCGTGTGAAAAATGGTCATAAGTCCCCTTTTTCAGTGCCATTGTAACTTTGAATGGTCACTAAATGAAAAGCTGTAAGTCGAGAACTCCTTGAACTTTCTTTTCTTCCTGCTTCTAGCCTGGCAAGAAGTGGAAGAGCAGCTGCACAGTCCAGAGCAGGGAGAAGGTGGATCTGGCCCAATACAATACACAGAGAAGATGCCCAGTCCGGAACTGAAAGGTGAGTAGAGAACCCCCCTCCTTCCCAGGCCTTTGTTGTTGTTGTTGTTGTTAGTTGCGAAGTCGTGTCCGACCCATCGCGACCCCATGGACAATGTTCCACCAGGCCTTCCAGTCCTCTACCATCTTCTGGAGTCCATTGAAGCTCATGCCTACTGCTTCAGTGACTCCATCCAGCCACCTCCTTCTCTGTCGTCCCCTTCTTCTATTGTCCTCCATCTTTCCCAGCATCAGGCTCTTCTCCAGTGAGTCCTTCCTTCTCATTAGGTGGCCAAAGTACTTGAGTTTCAACTTCAGGATCTGGCCTTCTAAAGAGCAGTCAGGGTTGGTCTCCTCTAGGACTGACCGGCTTGATCGCCTTGCAGTCCAGGGGACTCGCAGGAGTCTTCTCCAGCACCAGAGTTCAAAGGCCTCAATTCTTTGTCTCTCAGCCTTTCTTATGGTCCAACTTTCACAGCCATACATTGCAACTGGGAAAACCATGAACAACTTTAAAATGAGTGGACTTCAACTCCCAGAATTCCTCAGCCAGCCATTAAGCTCCATTCTGGGAGTTGGAAGACCACCTATTTTAAAGTTGCGCAGGTTGAGAAACATGGGTCCGAGGGTTTGATAGAAAAGAAATAACACACTTAAGCAGCTTTGTGTGTGTTGGGGGCAGGGGTGGCCTTGCAAATTCTAACTTTCCTGTTCCCTTTTTCAGATTTTGTCCCCATTGACCTTGAAGATTGGTGGGCTCAACAGTTCCTGGCCAAAATCAAGAATGGCTCTTAAGGAAGGCTGGAGCGGAGGCTTTACAAGAGAAATCTTCCAATTCGCTCTTAAGAAAACGCAGGCGCATCGGAGTGCAGCAAGAACTGGACAAATAAATTGGGTGGGGGCCGACCTGCCGCTCAGCTGGCCTTGGAAATGCTGAGAGGCTCCATTGCCCGGAAGAAGGCTGCAGACCATACATTGTGGGGATGCCAGGGTGCCCAGAGAGGGGGGCACGAGGGGGGCATTCTCCTCCTCCCTCGGGCCTGGCACCCAGCACCGAGTCCATTTTGGTCCCGGAGTCTCTAGACTGTGTTCACAATAAACACGCTGATCCTGTCAGCGGTACAAATGCAGGTTGAAAAAGAGTTTTTGGTGGGGGTTGGCCTCCCTCCCCAAGGTCGTTTCTCCCAAAAAACAAAAGGAAGTGAAATGCCAAGGAGAGGCAGGCTGCAGTTATTCAGAGCTGCCAGGATCAGACCATGGGGAAACATCAAAAGACCAGCTTTGTCAATGTAGGCTGGAGAAACAGCAAAAGCAAGAGCATTTAGACTTCTATCTGCTGCCCCATAATGCTTTACGGTACTCTCTGAGCGGTGTACAATGTCAGCATTTGTTTGCATAGGGCCCCCAACAATCTGGGTCCTCGTTTTACTGACCTCAGAAGGATGGAAGGCTGAGTCAACCTTGAACTGGTCAGAATCGAACTCCAGGCTGCGGGCAGAGTTTGCACTCTTAACCACTGCATCACTCTGCCTTCAGTCTCCGGGGCTTTGAATTCCAGTTTCAAAGAGGAAGTTGAGTTTGGTCCCTGTGCCTTCCCTCACCCAGCACAGGAGCCCCCCCCCAAACCTGAGTACACAAGCCACAGGCTTTGCAAACCGTATCGTGGCTTAATGTAAGGTCCTGGTTCATACCCTGTCAATATTTAGGTGAATGTAGGCTCAGGAAGTGCCATCAGCTTCCAGCACTTTGAATTTTTCGCAAGGCGGAAGCTGAGTTTGACCCCCCATGCCGTGCCCCATACAACACAGGGACTCCTAAACCTGGGTGAACAAGCCACAGGCTTTGCAAATCATATTATGGCTTAATGTAATATTAATAGAACTCGTTGGGTTTAGCTTAGGGTTAACCCAAAAGCGGGGTTTGTGAGTTTCAAGGTTGTGAGAGCACAGCGAGTGTTCTTTTGTCCAGTCTTCCAGTTGCTCTTAGCAACTCCACCACCTCTTCCATGCTAAACATTTAGAGTTTTTGTTGTTGTTCTTCTTGGGAAAGAGCAGGCAAGTTTCCTTCTTGGCTGGCATTTACAACACAGAGCAGAGCGGGCCCAGCCAAAACTGTTGGGAAGAATTGTGTCATTCGTCTTGCAAAATCCTCACCTGAAATTAAACAACCCGTTTCCAGTTGAGGGCTGTGTTCACACGCTTGTAGGGCAAAGGTGTGGGGGTGGATTCAACCCTGAGCTGTCCAAAAAATTGAAATGGTAACTAGGGATCAGATGCTGGCTGGCTGCAAGCCTTCTTAGGAGTTTTAAACCCTTTTGGTGCCCACGTTTTAAGGGTCAAACACGCCTTCAGAAAATGCACGGAGTGTGTGTGTGGGGGGGGGGGCTGTCCTTCCTTTTTGGATGTGTGTCTTTAGAACTGTTGTGCTATTCCTGCCTTAAAGCAAACACCCCCCAGGTTTTGAATTTCCTCCTGTAAGTTTTGGTCACTGACTTTGAGTTTGTCGATATGTGGATACAGATAATCCTCAGCTTACAACAGTTCATTTAGTGACCGTTCAAAGTTACAGGAGCTTTTCTCACACTTAAAACTGTTGAAACATCCCCAGGGTCACGTGATCAAAATTTGGACGCTTGGCAACTGATTCACATTTATGACACTTGGAGTGTCCCGGGGCCCTTTTGTGACTTTCTGACAAGCCAAGTCAATGGGGAAGCCAGATTCTCTTAACAACCCTTTGACCAACTTAACAGCTGCAGTGATTCACTTAACAACTGTGGCAAGAAAGGTTGTAAAATGGGGCAAAACTCACGAAACTGTCCTGTATTTTATATTTTATATTTAACTGACTTTGCACGTGGCGGTGGTGATGGTTTGCTTCCCTGTGAATGGCCCACGAGTGTCAAATTCACCCAGGCTAAGTGATCGGTTACGGTCAGCAAGGTGGAACATTGGTGTGATGTCTGTAACCAGCCACAAACTTAGAATCTGGTGGGATCTCAGCCTTTAGGACTGGGAGGAAGGAGTGGTAGGGGAAAACTCAGAAAATGATCTCGAATTCCCATTTTGGTCGGAGGGTTTTTCCCCCCCAAATATGCGAGTATTGGAGTGTCAGATTTCTCATGCTTTAAGCTGCTGGACAAGCCCTCTGTGTACATCAGGGGTCTTCAAACTTGGCCCTTTTATGATTTGTGGACTTCAACTCCCAGAATTCCTCAGCCAGGCATTGCCTGGCTGAGGAATTCTGGGAGTTGAAGTCCACAAGTCATAAAAGGGCCAAGTTTGAAGACCCCTGATGTACAGTCTACATGGCCTTAGCTATCAGTTGCCGGGACCCTGTACAATCTGCATAAACATAGTACAGTGTTTCTCAACCATGTCAACTTTACACTGGGTGGACTTCAACTCCCAGAATTCCCCAGCCACCATGGGGGTTGAAGCCAACCCAACTTATAAAGTTGGCAGGTTTGAGAAACGCCGCCCTATACAATCGTCTTCATTGTGTTGGACTCCTGATTTGGCAGCTCCTGAGGCACAGAACTGGGCATTGGACACCCGAGTGTCCCTTACGTGCACACACACACACACACACACACACAACCAGTATTTGGCCAGGAGGGACCTGTCACATTGCCATTCTGTGTTCAGTTGTTCCAGATTCTTTGCACCTTTGCATTTGTTCACCAATGGCTTGGTAAAAATATGGCACAATCAAATGGATTACGCATTCTTATCAATGTGTTTTTTTTAACCGTCTTTACAAAACACAACAGATCCTATCTTACAGGGAGGAAAGATGTCAGTGAGTTGGAAAGAGGCTAATATCATATTAATACCTAATGAGGGACAGGATTTGACAATAGATAGGCTGATAATCAATCCTGAATAAGGATTCCAAATTTTGTTTTTGTTTTTTTGCAGCTATTTCAGTTGACAGACTAAAAATAATTTTGCAGAGGTTTATTCATGAGGATCAGGGTGGGTTTTCACCTTAAAAAACCAGTTAAAAGGACAATGTTACTGTAGATGTGCTTTGAACATTTAAAAACATTTGGAGCAACATAATGAAAAACAAGCTGCGTTGACTTTCTTAGAGGTAGAAAAGGCCCTTGACAGTTTGGAGTGGACTTTCTTGTTTAAGGTTCTGGAAGATAAAAAAAAAATTGGACAGAACTTGCTAAAATGATAAAAATATGCTACATAAATACAAGACCTTCTGAAACAGGATCTAGAATTCTCCCTTCCAGTTCACCTAGGCTGAGAAAACATTTTGAATCAGAGACCACATTTAAATGGGTCAATTGAAGGTTTTGTGGAGGCATTTCCGTGACTTGATAAGCTTAGTTATTTTTAACCTTGATTAGAGGTTTTTGGGCGGATTAATAAGCCTCTTTATTTCATTAAAAGGTGTTGCAGGATCCCAGAAAATGGAATAATTCAGTACCCGGATTGAAGCATGTTGTGCAAACTTATTCCATGGATAACCTTCTTAGTTTACTGCAGAAAAAAAATAAAGAGCCTTATAACATCTTAAAGGGGGAAAAAACTATTGCTTAACTCTTTCACTGATCATCTTTATCTTTCTGCACATAGCCAATAGCTTACTGGTGAACTGGACTGCGATCCACAAAAGTGTGAAATAACAATTTGCAGCCACCCGAATTTGGTCTGGTTTAAGTTGAGGGTTCAGTCTATCTAACTGCCTAGCCAGGAATTTAGCTTTTTTAATCTATTAAAATGGAAACTCCAGTCACCTAAAAGCAGGACTTGGACAGCTCCCAATTCTAATCTTCCAATTACTTGACGGTGAAGTTTGTTTTTCCTTAATGCCCCTTACCTTTTTTGAGTAAGTAGCTTGAGTAAGTAGCTTATTGTTTGGGCAATAAGAGAGCCAGTTTGATCTAGTGGAGAAGGTACCAGATTAGAAAGCAGGAGATGGTGAGTTCTAGTTCTGCCTTTGGCGTCAAAGCCAGCTGGGTGACTTTGGGCCAATCACCAGGAGACGTTGAGTTCTAGCCCCGCCTTAGGCATGAAAGCCAGCTGGGTGACTTTGGGCCAATCACCAGGAGACGTTGAGTTCTAGTCCTGCCTTAGGCATGAAAGCCAGCTGGGTGACTTTGGGCCAATCACCAGGAGACGTTGAGTTCTAGTCCCGCCTTAGGCATGAAAGCCAGCTGGGTGACTTTGGGCCAATCACCAGGAGACGTTGAGTTCTAGTCCCGCCTTAGGCATGGAAGCCAGCTGGGTGACTTTGGGCCAATCACCAGGTGATGGTGAGTTCTAGTCCCGCCTTAGGCATGGAAGCCAGCTGGGTGACTTTGGGCCAATCACCAGGTGATGGTGAGTTCTAGTCCCGCCTTAGGCATGGAAGCCAGCTGGGTGACTTTGGGCCAATCACCAAGAGACAGTGAGTTCTAGTCCCGCCTTAGCATGGAAGCCAGCTGGGTGACTTTGGGCCAATCACCAGGAGACGGTGAGTTCTAGTCCCGCCTTAGGCATGGAAGCCAGCTGGGTGACTTTGGACCAGACATTCTCCCTGATCCCAACCCACCTCACAGGGTTGTTGTGGTGAAAACAGGAATGAGTTCTAGGTACCTTTATTTATAAAAATAACACAGGATAAAAATAAAGAAATAAACAAGACAGCTGTATAACAGCGTGGTGCCTCCTCAGCCTGCCTCCGAAATAAACGGACATCTGCTCAGATATTCCACGTTCAACATTTAGTACTTCTAGATCCCATGACAGCTCTTGGCTTCTAGAATTTGACTCCAAGGGAAGGAATTTAAGGGTGCCTAAAAAGGCACCGCAAACAGAGCTTGGTTTTTTTTCCCCCTAGTGTGCCAATGCCATTCCTTAATATAGGCAATCCTCAACTTACTACCACAATTGGCCCCACAATTTCTGTTGTTAAGTGAGACAGCGAAGTGAGTTTTGTCTCATTTTATGATCTTTCTTGCCACAGTTGTTAGGTGAATCCCTGCAGTTGTTAAGCAAATCCGGTTTCCTCCATCAGAAGCTGGCTGGGAAGGTTAGAAATGGTGATCACATGATCCCCTCGGACACTGCAACTGTCATAAGTACATGCCAGTTTCCAAGCAGTTGAATTTTGATC